CCGCTGTCATCTTTCAACAATCCTTCTGGAGCCTACTCCAGCTCTCACTCAGGGAAAACCAGTCTGCATGGCTGCCAAGTCTTTCCTCGGAATAGCTGTTTTGACACTAGCTTGCTCAGGTTAGTGGTCCCACTATGGTGTAATAGTAAAATATGTTAGCATACAAGCTCCTAATCAAAACTGAGGCACTGTACAAATGTATGTAAACAATGTAAATATCCAGCTCAGAATCAGACACCAAACTGCTGCGAAAACTGTTATATTGACAAAGCTGACAATTCTTATTTCAACAGCATTTCATCACTCCACCACCCTGATGTATCAATACACAGCCATCCTACATACTTCGAATGGGTCCTGGAATGGGCTTATGTATATTTCTATACCATACAGCCACACCACCACTGATTTTACCAAAGGTTTGCATGAACCTTCCTGCAAGTGTCAGCAAGAAGATGGATATACTCCACCTCCTTACAGGGCCATAGTTACCCATGTGGGTTATGGCTTTCCTCACTCCTCTGTTGACTGGCAACCTCCTGCTCCATGAGTGAGGGAGAGAGTCTTAACATGTTCTAATTTAATGTTAGCAAACAACAGGAGTTGCAGACCAGCTGAGACACAAGCACAACAAAAATGACCTAAGCAGTAGTTCTGCTCTGTTCTGAATGGACCAGCAAATCCAGTGCTGACTGATTAAAGGCAGTTTCACCAGAACACAATTCCATAGGAATTCTGGCTGTGTTGATGGTGGCAAGAGATGCTGACAATGCACATGTCCAGGTAGCAGCATCATTGCTGCGAGTTCTGATGTAATACATTTTGCACAATTTTGTGGCTTTTCAGAGCAGTTACCACATCCTCATAGAGAGCGTTCACGCTGATGCACAGAGACTGGCGCTGCAGCTCCGTCACCCGACAAACAGCCACAGTACTAAGGGCACACAGAAATATCAAGAGCAGCAGCTTCAACAATGCCTGGAACCAGGAGCGCCTGTGCCGGGGCAGCTGAGATGGATGAGAAACTGATGAAAGCTCTGTAATGATATAAATTGCGGGAAAGAGAATGGGAAGACCAAGTCACTTATCAAGAGAAATCTGTATCCCTATAACATGCAGATCTGAATCCCTTATGGTAAAATGCTATGCCACATGTTTAGCTCTCTCATAACAAGAAAACAATTACTACACCATTTCAGATTTCCCTAGCTTTCCTCCGTTCTAAACACATGCACAGGCCCCATCCACAAAGGATGAAACAGTACATATTTCTTTTCAAGAAGCAGATGTTTTTGATCTCTCAGAAAACAACCATAATGCCCACATCCCAGATGAGCAAACAGCTATGAAGATGACGACTTGCATTAAACTCATGTTAAGCCTTTGTTGCAGGTATTTTTAAGATACGTTCAATTTTATGAGGCAGAGGAAATATTCCTTAGCAGCAATTGCAGAACTTTGAATCATGCAGATAAGTAATCAAGAGCTCCATCAATTGCAAATATGTTGAAGTTCTGCTTGTTCTTCCAGAGTTATTCATATGTTGCAAGATTCTGAACTAGCTCTACCACTGTGGTCTGATTCCCCCACCCCTTGACCATATTCAACACGAGGGATTACTTCCTAACATCTTGCTACATAATCTGGCACTATTAAAAGCATGGTGGATCTGGAGGTAGATACACTACAATGGTAAGGTTCTTGCTCATTCTCTTCCACCTATTTCTCCTATGCTGTGCCAAAATATAGATGAGAACAGTTACACTACTCTATAGAATACACCTGCTCCTTGGTGGATATTTCTCAATTGAATCTACAATTGACTTACTTGGGATCTCACTGCTTTCTTTTTTTGTTTGTGTTTCCATCTCTTGCCTTGCCGCTCTTAGTGCATCATACTCCCGTCTCCTGCGTTCCTTCTCTTCTGCCTTCTCTCGCCTCCGCAGTTCCCTCTCCTGAGCCTCCCTTGCTCGCTGCTCTGCTTCACGCTTCTTCTCCATTTCTGAGGACCAACACAAACATTTTTTTTCTTCTGTAATAACAGCACTCCACCTTCCCCCTTGCTGCATGACTGCTCTTCCCCACTGGGAAGGTAAAGCAATGAAATAATTGCCTCATTTTATTGTCCAGAAGTTGGATGCACTCCCCGTCTTCCTCCTTCAGATCTAGTCTCTCCTGGAAGCAGTCTTATGTGAGTCAGTAAAAAAATCTACACACTCCTCATTCCTTACACTTGGTCAATAGCATCTCTCATCCAGAGATCTCAGCACTTTACAAGCATTAACTGAGCCCCACAATACCACATATGAAGCACTGTCCCCATGTTACAGATGCATAAAATGGAAGCACAAAGGTTAAAGGGACACTGTCAACTTAAATTTTATTAACGTGATTCATTTTAAAGAAATTCTAGTTTGATGGAGGGCTCTTTATATAGTATTCCCAGAGTAGTAGTAATTTTTTAAAAAGAATTAAAAAACTAAGGGTTCTTCTGCCCCCATTCATATAAGGGTCTGTTTCACAAACGAGAAACTGACCCTGCACTGAGCATTGTCAAATGCACAAAGTATATTGAAATAAATGTTTGTCACTAACTTTTGAACTATAGTAATCTTCAGTATTAGAGTTTTCAGGCAAATGTGATTTTTCAGTTTGTTAATGTTCCTTTAAGGGTTCATTTACATTCAGAGTTTGGACCCATAATTCATCAATGGTAACAGCATTCGTGCAAGCACTTTGTGGAAAGGCCTCATGCCTTTTTAGTACTGTTGAGGTAAAACATCTGAACCTTCGCTACACTAGCACTTCTACTTGTGGTGAATTAAAGCTCTGAACTTTGTCAGTGTAGGCAAGACCTATGTGACATGTTCACAGTGAACAACAGTAAGACTCCCATTCTCTTGCTCCAGCACTCAAGCCACACTACCTTTTCAAGAGGGGAAGAAAAAGAAGGTGCTTATGGAAAATGATCCCCTTTAAGAAGAGAGGCAGTTCTCCAGTACGGTGCATCAGCATGGAAATCATTTTCCAAGATACACTGAAGTAAAATTAGCCTCTAGGTTTTAGTGGCCTCCCAAGACGTATCAGGAACCCACAACCCATCAGGCCTTTTTGCGGTTACCCATCTGATCCTCCAGAGGCCCATGCCTCTCCTCTAGAGTGGACCAGACCTCTCTCCCCTTTCACAGGGTTAAGCAGTTGGCTATTGAGGGATCTCTTCCTCCACCTCCAATTCAAAACAAATATTTTGTAGCTCCTCGCTGCCAAGATATTTGGAACAGTCTGTGTTAGCTGCCCTGGAAGGGCAGAATCAGCTGGTTTGGAAATGTAATCAATGGACCCAGAAAAGAGTCTAGAGCGGTATGTGGGTGGGAGGTGTCATGTGCCTACCTCGCTCTGCTTGTAGCCTTCGTTGCCTCTCTCGATCCTGCTCAGACTGGATAGCTTTCATATGCTGCAGCACCTTCAAGATCCAAGACAACAGCATGAGATCTATGCAGCAGATTCATTGCATTATCCGAATGCAGCCATAAGTGGGAGAAGGAATGCATTCCTCTGGGATTGACTTCTAATTCTATGTAGCAGAATACAAGTGAGTCCCAAGTGGCTCTTACAGCGATGCCACAACCTCCAGGTTTACCCCACAACCTCCACATTGAAGGTGTGCATCGGCAGTACCAAAAAAAAAAAAACCCTAGTCATTCAGTGCTGGGACAAGCTAATATTTTAGTTTATTTTAACAAGAGGAGACACCATACTGATTATATGACTTAAACATGAAAATGAATAATACAAACCACCACTTAATTTAAGTGAGGCTGCCACAGACTCCAGGAGCCCTTGCTTAGGTCCAACTTGCCTCACAGTGCACAGGGCTTTGACCATGAAAGTGAGGTAACAGACGCGTTAATGATGAAGAAAGCTGTGACAATAGACACTGATCTGACTTTTCTACACAAGAGATGAACCCCACCCCGCTGATGTCATCTACCAGGCTACATACATGTCTGATAAAGGAATGTCTAATAAAATCTGCATTGGGCTAGATCTTCAGCTGGTGCAATTTGGTGCAGCTCCACTGAGACTTCCATGACTTTGCTGAGTGTTTGGAGCGCTGTCTCAGCGTTCGTCTCAAAGCTGCTGCTTCAGGCAAAATCTCTCCATTAAATAAAGAAATCCTCCTTGCAGCCTGTGCGCTGGTACTAGGTGTATCCACTGCTCCATGATCACATGGTTTTTCTAAGGCTGAAAAAGGGGATGTGATCCCTGCCTCAGGAGTAGCAGAGAATTGCAGCAGCATAGGCTCCAACCTGCTCTAGCCCTGCTCCGTGGCTCCCAGCAGTAACTCTTCACACAAGCCTACAGATTGCCGGCACTTCTTCAGAAGCTCAAAGCTGGGTATGGATTATTTTTCTCAGTACCGTCTTTTTCCTAGTGATCAACATTTAAATGTTCACTCTTAAATGTTCACCTCGGGCTGAGCACCCAGCTTAGCTCACTTCCTAGATCCCCGGTCAGGGCACTAGTGAAATCACTGCAGGATTGGCTTTGAATGGGATTAGCCTCTCCCTCCTGACCGATACCTTAAAAATTGCCATGTTGAGAGCCTCCAAGCAAGAAGAGGAGAAAGAACGGCCATGGAAGCCATGTAGGAAAACAAGAATAAAATACAGAGCAATTTCCTTACTCTGATAGCGGCCTGTTTACATTGCTTCTCATCCAGGCAGTCGCCTGCCACCTTGGCCAGGCTAGGATCCAAGGGGTTGTCCTTCAGATCCAACCACTTCAGATTCTGCAGGAAGGAAACACAAATGGGACCAGGCTAGAGTAGGCACACATCAGTACAATGTTAAAGAAAGAGCAATAACAAGACTGTGTTTTATTCTAGAGAGTTCAAAGCAGAAACAAAGAGCTATTTAGTTGTCAGGTGAATGAAAGAGATATGGGAGACAAGTGCAGATTTCAGGCAGGAGTTTAATTGCAACAAAACTGTGGCAGTTTTGTCAAGGGCAGTGCTGCAGATCCCAGTTACATTTTGGAGCTCATAGTGGTCTGCTGGCAGAGAGACTGACATTTTACTAGAGAAATCAACTTCAGAAGAATCATGAGACTCTGGGCTACACTCCAAGGCCTTACGTAAACTGCCTAGCAGAGGGGTTTACCTTGAGCTGTGCAAAACTGACTGGTAGCATGGCTAATCGGTTGTTCAGGAGATCCAGGTGCTGCAAGTTAACCAGGCGACCAAAGTCTGAGGGGAGTTGCTGAAGCTGATTTTTACTCAGATCAAGTTTCACCAGGTGGGTCAAACTGCAGAAGTCCGACTGGAACCCAAACAGGAGTGAAGAAGTTTACAAGCTTGTCAATCATCTTTACTAAGGAATAACAGATATATCAGCTAGCGTATGCTGCACACTGCAGGGAGCTGAGGAAGATCTACATGGACTTGGATTCATTACAAAGCTGCTTGTGTGATGAAGGAAAGTTACTCTCTTCCCCCTCTACTCTCGAACGGTGAAGTAGGGAACAGTGGATACTCTCCTAAACAGCGCTACTCATAGCAATATAATTACAATGAAAATAAGACATACAGTGGTGCTTTTGGTATCCAGCTGGTAGAGCACTTTGGAATGGAAACTGCTATAATCTTCACTGAGTACACTCATTTTCTACAAGAAAGCCCAGCTAATATGCTATGCCAGCCAACCTCAGTAAAAGTCAATCACCTACACTGACCCCTCTGTAATGGTGGCAGTGTCACTCATCCTCCCAAGAAGCTAAGAGAACTGTTAGTTACCACACTCCCGCCTGGTCCTCCCATGCAGGAGGATTGTACCTTTCCAAAGGTATTTCCAAACAGACCCCTCCCTCCTCCACAAAGCTTCTCTCTCATCTTACCGGTAGGGAAGTGAGGTTGTTACAGGACAAATCCAATATGGTAGCCTTTGGAAGGGCAGCCTGAAAAAGAGCCAAGGAATCAAATTAAACCTATTTCAAAGCTACAGTACTTTAATGCAGTTGATACCCTGCTGTTTACGTTTCTGTTTCAGTCTTTGGGATTTCTCCCATACATGGAGTTAAGAACTCCCCAGTTGTTACCATTCGAGTTACCTTTGAGACGCTTACATCTCACTCAAATTCAGGGGCTTATGAACACTGCTCCCCCTGAAACAGGTTCTTCACCCAAAGCATCAATTTAACCCACAATCCACCAGATTTGTTAAATCAGTCGGGAACCTTCTCTTCTTCAGGTCACTTCAACCACCAAAAGTCAGGACGACAGGAAGAGTTCAAGGTTGTGTATCCTTCTCTTCAGGAGAAACAGTGTGTGTGCCTTCCAAACACACAACGGGCAACACCTCAAGCTGATAAAAACCACAAAACTTACACAGGGCCCAAGACATTCCCAGGAATCACCCCGCCTCCCCACCCCCAGGATTAGTACATTCACAAAGACCAGGGATAATCTCAGAGGCTCCCCTGCAATACCTTACATCCCCCCAGGAAAGACTGATACTGACCAGTTCTTTGACTGGTACTTCATTCAGGTCACTCAGGCTCAAGTCCAATTCATTGCCATCAAGTTTGTCTTTCAGGTTTACTCCTTTTCCTCCAGCTTTTGCCATGATCCTATTGAGAGAGAAATTCAGAGTCTCAAGTGGCTCATTCTTGGAACGTGAAAAAGACAAGGAATGGAGATGGGGGGCACCAATACATTTTAACAAGCCTCCAGATTTTCTTTTACTCTGTATCTACCTAACAAGTACAGCAGGAGTAATGACAGCTGTCATGCCCTGCATGTATGCCTCAACTGTAACCTTTAAGGACCTCCTTTAGAGGCCAGGGATATTTTGGTCCCCCTGGGCCATTCAGATCTTGCTGGTCCAGGTGCCAGTGTTTACCGGTTCAGGCTAACTGAGGATGTGGCTTTTGCAACCTGCCTACTGGGAACTGGACTGACAGCCCACCAACTCATTTAGCACAGGCTACTGAACAGCCCACCACATGGGAAAACTATTGGTCGTTCCTCTTTACCAGTTCAAGCTGGATATGGACTGGCAACCTCCACGTGAGACGCCTGATAGAGATCCTTAGTGTAGGTCACAGCGTGCACTTTCAAGGCTTTTCTGACTGAGCAAGAATTTATTTTCTCAGAAATAATCCAGCCTCCTCCAATGCCAGCCTAGGGAGGTGTTCATGGCAGCAGGGCCTCTAGGCACAGTGAGAAGATTGTGAAGTTTCTGTTTGTCCCACTGTCCGAGGGTTGAGGTTTTGGGGGGATGGGAGTGGGCTATCCCAGGGGGTCTGTGAAGAGAGCTCTCTGTTTGAAGGGGAGCCGTGCAAGAGGGGTAACATGATCCCGAGTGGAGGGGGTGACTGGCTAGAGGGGGAGGAAGCAATACTGAACAGTGCATTGGCCCGGCTCCCTGACCCTCCGTCCCAGCACATCCTGCTGCCACTTTGCTGCTTTTATTCCCTTGCTTCTGGTAAAGGGGGCGGGGAGCACAAAGGCAGGAGCAGGGCGCATCCCCAGGCGCCTCAAGGCGGGGGGCTTTACAGACACTGCATAGAGAGAAGATGAACCCAGTTCCCATCAACCCCATCCCCTGTGGGGGTGCCCCAGCCCAGCCAGGGCTTCCCCCCAGGGGGCCAAGAGGGAGCCGTAGACTGAAAGGCCTCCCCAATGCTCCCCTGCCACCCCCGCACAGGGACCCCCCCCATCCCAATACCCTCGACCGCCCCCCCACATGGATCCCCCATCCCAAGACCCCCCCGGCCGCCCCCCCCCCACGGATTCCCCCCATCCCAATACCCCCCGGCCGCCCCCGCACATGGACCCCCCCATCCCAATACCCCCCGGCCGCCCCCGCACATGGCTTCCCCCCTCCCCAATACCCCCGGCCGCCCCCGCACAGGGGCGCCAACCAGAGGCGGCGGAGCGACCCCTCCCCTCGGGCCCCGCACTCACCGTACCGCCCCACTCCTCTGCTGCCAGCCACTTCCGCATCCACGTCCCCGTCTCAGCCCACCAGCGCCAACGAGCCGGCCCGCTGGCCAAGAGGGCCCCACGCTCAGGCCGGAGGAGGAGGGACAGAGCGGCGCCCTCTGCAGGGCCAGCGGCTCTCAGCTGAGCGAGTGAGCGAGGGTGGGGGAGTGGCTGAAAGTGGGAACAGCGGGCGAGGTGGGGAGGGGTGAAGTTGGGAGCAGGGGGGTGGGAGGGGTGAAGGTGGGAGCAGGGGGAAGAGGTAACGGGGAAGGGTGAAGGTGGGAGCAGGGGGCGAGTGGGAAGAGGTGGAGAGGGGAGGAGTGAAGGTGGGATCAGGGGGCAGGGGGAGAAAGGGGAGGGGTGAAGGTGGGAGCAGGGAGAGGTGGAGAGGGGAGGGTTGAAGGTGGGAGCAGTGGGAGAGCAGGGAGAGGTGGAGAGGGGAGGGGTGAAGGTGGGAGCAGGGGGAGAGCAGGGAAGGGTGAAGGTGGGAGCAGGGGGAAGAGGTAATGGGGAAGGGTGAAGGTGGGAGCAGGGGGCAAGCGGGGAGAGGTGGAGAGGGGAGGGATGAAGGTGGGAGCAGGGGGAAGAGGTGGCAGGTGGGAGGGGTGAAGGTGGGAGCAGGGGGCAAGGAGGAGAAGGCCCTTGCTAGCACTGCTTTGTTTAACACAGTTGAGGGTGACACTGTTTCCCCTTAGTAGCTGTGTCTGATAGGGGCTCGGAAGCCCCGTTATTAAACCTGTACCAGAGCTACAGTGCTTTAACGTATCTGACACTCTGCTCAAGTTTCTGTTTCAGTCTTTGGGATTTCTCCCATACAGAGAGTTTTAAGAGTTTTCCAGTTGCCACCATTGTGATCTCTGCCACACATCACTTTTGAGACACTTTTAATCTTCCTCAGATGCTCACTCAAATCCAGGTGTTTATTCCCCCTGAAATTGGTCCTTCCCCCAAAGCAACAACTTCATCCTCCAGCTACTAAATTTATTAGATCCATTTTCTTCAGGTTACGTCAAGCCCCGTTATTCTGGGGAGCTCCCCATGTGAATCAGAGAGCCCACGAAATACTGGATGCTAAATCCCTCTGCACACATGTGTTGATCTCTGTTTACATGACAAGCTTGGGTGCTAAAATAAACCCAGGGGCTAGCCTTGGCTCTGATGTAACTGAGGTATCATGGATCCAAGGGAGTGCTATGTCTCCTTAAACTGGGGCAATTATTTAGCATCTATGCTCCCTGTGGAATTGGTATTCTGTGGTCTCTCCCTGCTTATCTTGCCACGGGGCTGCTTGTGCCTCAGTTTCCTGATCTCTGTAATGTGGTGTGTACCCCACAGGCTGTGAAGGGGTTAATGTGGGTTTGAGGGGCCAGTTAGGTTACCTGGCTGCATCTGTAGGAAGAGTCATGTCTAACTGAATAAGAAGCCCAGATGGCCAGGAGTATAAAGACAGGAAGTTTGCAGCAGAAAGAGGCTGCAGGGACAGAATCTGCAGTTGCTGTCTGGGAGGAGCATGGAGGAGGGGAGGAGAAAACCAATGTGGGAGAATAAGTCCTGGGGTCCTAGCCCTGGAAGAAGGGTCAACCCCAGAGGAGTTGTGGCGAAAGGAAGCTTGAGAAAGCTAGGAAGGAAGAAGCCTAGGGAAATAGTAGCAAGGGGTAGGACTGTGCGGATCTTGTCTGCTTGTTATAGGATCTCTGGGCTGGAACCCAGTGTAGAGGGTGGGCCTGGGTTCCCCAACTGGCCACTGGGAAGTGGCACAGGAGTGTTGGCGATGCTCACCGGACAGCTGGTCCAGAGATACTTTATTACTCTGCAGGGGAAGGACTCTATAGTCACCTGGCTAGAGGGCTGAGTCACGAAGAGAGAACACCCTCAGTCGTGACATGAGAGCGAGGGGTCACAGCTTGAGTAACTGACTGAAGAGAGTGCCAGACTGGACAAGAGCTGATTCCCCACAGCAGCCACAAGGAGTTGCCACCTGTAGTGAGAGAACCCTTCATTGCAGTTGTCCCCCTCGGATTCTCCTGGCACCTCTGGGACATGCAGGCCTCCGTCTCCCCCAACAGATGTTGGTGAACTGGGCAGTCATCCCACAACCTTGTCAGGATCTGGATCAAGCAGGGTTGCCAACTTTCTAATCACACAAAACCAAACACCCTAGCCCTGCCCCTTCCCTGAGGCCCCACCCCCTTTCCCATCCCTTCCCTGAGGCCCTGCCCCCCGTTCACTACATTCCCCCTCCCTCAGTGGCTCGCTCTCCTTCACCCTCACTCACTTTCACTGGGCTGGGGCAAGGGGTTGGGGTGCGGGAGGGGGTGAGGGCTCTAACTGGGGGTGCGGGCTCCAGAGTGGGACCAGAAATGGGGGGGTCATGGTGCAGGAGGGGGCTCCAGGCTGGGGCAGGGGGTTGGGGTGCGGGCTCTACCTAGGGGAGCAGGCTTTGGGGTGGGGCCAGGAATGAGGGGTTTGGGGTGTAGGAGGGGGCTCCGGGTTTGGGGCACAGGCTTCCCTCTGGCAGCTCCCAGTCAGCGGGGGGCTGAGGCAGGCTGCCTGCCTGTCCTGGCACCGCACTGCACCCCGGAAGCAGCCAGCAGGTCTGGCTCCCAGTCAGAGGCATGGCAGGTGGCGCTGCACGCTGCTCTCACCCACAGGTGTAACATCGACAGACCCTGATTGTCAGTGGGCAGGATTGAACCTGGGAACTTCGGCGCTAAATGCATGAGTCTCTGCTGCATGAACTAAAAGCCATGTGGCTCTTAGCTAAGGCTGTAGAGCAGACCCATTAATCTCTACGTGATCTCAATGCCATTAGATGGGACAGAGCACCATGCCCAGGAGGCCTGTGGGTTACACAGGCACTGCCCCCACAGGTCCCATTGGCCAGGAACCACTTGTGCTTTGGTTAACTTCTTAAAGTTTAACTCTCTCTCTGCACAGCTGTATAATCTGTTTCTTAGGGAGCTGATAATATCTCGTCTTCCTTGTCTGTCCTTTCCTTCTCTCTACCCCAAAGAATGTAAACTACTTTCCCCCTGCTGTCCCTCTAACAGCTCTTTTTAGGTGTTTTTTGGAAAGCACTACTGTTGCAGTTAGTATTCTACTGCTAACCCCAGTTGTCACGTATCAACGGGGCATGCTATACCTCTGACCTTCGTACAGTCTCTCTGGGAGTGTGTCCTTCTTAGTGCTAGGCCCTGGGCCTCTACCTTTTACAAGGGCAAGCCCCGGAGCTCTGCTATTCCAAGACTGTGTCTCTGGCTTCAGCACCTCTGTTTCTCAGCATGGCTCCTTTAGCAGGTCCAAATGAGCTTGCATCTCTGTTGGAGACTTACCCTCCTAGGAGCCCAGCAACCAACGGATGTTTCCAGAGATACAGGACAGCCTTTTCAAAATGACATCATTTATTAGTCAATTGGAAGACTGGGACACTACGTTAGAAGAGAAGAGCAAACCCAACACATGTTTCTCCCCTAATTTGTCAGCTTCTGTGTATTCAATTAGGTGGTCCCTGCTTTGCCCCGGCCTGGGAACTAGACTGCATGCTGGTAGCACCACCTCTCTGCCTTATCTAAATGTCCTGGATTGCCCCCCCAACCCACACAGAGGAGGATCTCATTGCAGTCCCCCAGCACCTTTGTCTCCAGTTCCAATCATGCTGTTTTAACATGTCCTGCCAAGTTAATGGTCCAGTCTTTGGTCTTACATTGTATTTCCAAGGTCGCTCCATTCACATGTTGACAGTTCTTCGTAGACTTACACCCAGTCATTTCATTGCTTATTCTTAGACTTGGCAGAATTTGATTTTTTTTTTTAAATAATTTTGATGGCTGATAGCCATGTTTATTTTTAAGCCATTTTTTAGATTTTTAGTGATTTTAAATGTTCACAATAGCAGGAAATGATGGGGGAGGGGTCAGACAATTATTTAATGACAGTAGACATTGAGATTCAAAAACGTAATACTTTATAAACCATTAACACAGACTGTCAACATCACATGTCAAACTATGCAAAGGTCATATCCTTAAATCAACAAATCATACTGTATTCATTTGCTAGTCCATTTGGAACAAGTATAATTCACTGGATTATGACTAAGTTCTCAAGCACCACAGGCATAAGGTCTCACCCTGGTTTTCACCAACCTAGTTACTCTTTGGAGGGCGACACCAATAGCCCTTCCAGTCACAGGTCTCCCCAAGTTCTTAGTGACCAGACATTCGGACTGTTCCCCTCTAGTACGTCAACCCCCGAAGGTGTGAAACCAGCCCCCCAGGTACTAGCTCACCTTGGCATACACACGCCATACAGTTTGCACCCCAGAGACCGGCTTGGTATAAAAATAAACAATGTTTATTTACTAGAAAAAGCAGAGATTCAGAGATGAAATGGTACATAAAGATGGAACCTCAGGCTTTACACTCTCATATTACATCAAATCCCTTTTTAAGAAATTACCTACCATCTTAAAACAATTTCCCAGTGTACCCCTTAGCTACAGTGTTCACAGACAGCCTCCTGCCTCAAGGTTGTCCCCCAAGTTCTGGATGGTCTCCAGGTCAAAGCCCTTCCACTTTAAAAGGGTTTGTGGGGTTTTTCTTTAGTCTCTCTAGATATTAAAAGTGGGGGAAACCCCT